TTTTTTTAATTTTGGTCTCCATAAACGCAAATATGCGTTTTTCCTATTCATCAACGCATTTGTTTTGTAAAATTGCAATATCACCCATATTACAAATGACCATGGATATTTCCTTTTGTTTTGTTGTAAAAATCTGTAAGTAACTAATTTTTTTCATAGTGAGTATGAAGCCTATTAATTTGCATCAGGTATGGATTTATGCATAATAAATAAATATATGAATTTCTATATATTTAGTTTTATTTATATGAAATGTAATAATTAGATATTGTTTTGGAAACTCAATTTAATTATCAATCTAATAAGTGGTTGAAAATAAATTCATATGATCCTTCTAAAATATTTTTTGAAGTTAAATAAAAAAATTAATTTTGAATATGTATTTCAATATTTTGTAGGTGTACATATTGCCAATCTATAATTAATTATTATATATTTTTTAAAATTGAATATAAGATAATATTAAGTCTAATTTGTAAACTTATTAAATATGTGGGTGGTATTGAAAATGTGTAAAAGTTGATGTGAGAGAATATTTTGAGCATATTCTTTTGGGTTTAAGAATGAATTAATCAGTTGGAGAAGAATTACTGTTTGATGTGACAAATACTGCAAAATGAGTTTTAGAATGAGTTTTTCAGTTGGGGACAGTCTTATACCTTTATTCTGTATTTATCAAGAATTTTGAAATTCATAATTCCTCGGTTTCGTCACATTTGAATAATATTTTTCAGAGAAATGCTATAAGTACATAATAATGTACATAGAAGTTTACATAACACTCACATTACATACGTGGTTCTTACCAAAAAAAAATAAAAAAAATTAAAAGGATCCCACTCAATGTGAGTGTTGTGTACACTTCTATGTACATTTATTATGTATTTGCATCATTTTTCTATTTTCCATATATCAATAGCTCTATTCTTTTAGTTATTAAGAATTGTTCATGTATAATTCTTGGGTTTCCTCACATTTGAACAAGACTGCATGTTTTGGAAAGTGGTAATGGCCCTTTATACCACTTTAGCAAAAACAAAAATGAAATATGGCCAACTTTCTAAAAAGAGTAATGCTACAAAGCCCACTTGGGTTACAACTTGGGTTACAACTCAAGTGTAAATACATCATTTTTTAATTTCTTGATAATGCATTTACACTTGAGTTGTAACCCAAGTTGTCATCCAAGTTGGCTAAGTAGCATTACTCGTCTAAAAAAGATAAAATATAGCCATTTGGGCATGTGAGAAGACATAATTGCCCTTAGA